AGGGACGGGGAGGAGGGGCCTGGGCAGTGCCAGCACCAGCAGGTTGCCATGGTGATGGTGTAAGTACCTACATCAAAGCCAAGGGCTGCAAAGCATCCTGGGAAAGTGGCAGAGCAGAGGCCTGACAGCGCTGCTGCCAGGAATGGGGGGGAGGGGGGCTTTGGGCACCGGGACCGACTGCCCCTGCCCCAGCGCAGGGGAGACCAGGGCTGGGCGTGAGGGCCCCGGCGGGGCTGCGGCTCGGGAGCGAAGGGCCCAAGCATGGATCTTGCTTGCAGCCAGGCCCAGCTGCAAAGTCGTGTCCAGAAGCGGCTTGGAGCCTGCCCGTGGGCAGCCCTGTCCCCCTGCTCGGCTGCGGCCCCATGCTGCCCTGTCCCCCCAGATTACGAGAAGATGTTTGGCACCAAATGCCGTGGCTGCGACTTCAAGATCGATGCCGGTGACCGGTTCCTGGAGGCGCTGGGCTTCAGCTGGCACGACACCTGCTTCGTCTGTGCGGTGAGCGTCCCCACTCCTCCCGGCCTCGTCCGTGGTGGTGCAGGTGCCTGGGGGCTCCAGGCAGCAGCTTTGCCCAGTGGTGCCCAGCCCTGGGTGGCAGTGGGGCAGGGTGGGGGGAGCAGGGCTGGCCTGGCCTGGAGCCAGCATTACCCTGGGGGTGGCGGTGGGCACAGGCACCCACCTCCTGACCGTGCTCTCCTACCTGCACAGATCTGCCAGACCAACCTGGAGGGGAAGACCTTCTACTCCAAGAAGGACAAGCCCCTGTGCAAGAGCCATGCCTTCTCCCATGTGTGAGGGGAACCGTTTCCCCCAGCCCGGCCCGCCCTGCATGCTTCTCTCTGCCCCACCGCAGCCCTCGGGAACCCTGCCTGGAGCGTGGCAGGGGCCCGGCTGGACACGCCTCTCCTCACCCTGTGCCGGCCCTGGCCTGGGGCTAACGGGTGCTGCTGCCAAGCACCCACCCTCCTCCCTCCCCGCACCTGCTGCAGGCCCTGCATTGGGCTGGGCTGCTCCACAAAGCCAGTGCATGGGCATGTGCCCTGAGCCAGCAGCTGGCCCTTGTGCCCCCCTGCCCTACACAGGGCCGTCTCTGCTGGGGTCCACGAGCCAGAGCGCAGAGCCCCGCCCCGGCCCTGCTGCCCCATGGGTGAGGGCGGGAGGAGACCCTGCAGTGACCACGCTTGTGCCACCTACTTCCCTGCCCAAGAGCCACTGCTGTCCCCCCACCCACACGCACCCCTTCCCCCCGTGCCCAGCCGGGCTGTGACGCCGCGCGGAGCTTTTAGTGTCTCAATAAACACTTCTGTGCAAGTGCCGGTGTCTCCGGGGACTCTTCTTCATGCTGAGCCCAGTGCTGGCTTGTGCAGGGCAGCTGCGCCTAGCTCCATGGTGCCCGTGTGTTGGCAGCACCCATCACTTCCCTGGGGACATTATCACCCCTCTCCATGGCCCTGCCGTGGATGCACCAACACGGGCAGCCGGGCCTGGGAGAAGCCACCGGGAGGGACTAAAAAGGGGCTTGAGCTGCAGCTGGAGAGTGCAGCAGTGTGGAGGGGCAGGAGAGACGGGGCTAGAGGTGCCGTGAGCCACTGGCTGGACAGACCAGCACCGACCGCCCCCCAGGGCCGCAGGCGCTGAGCTGCAGTGAGAGGAGCCCCTTGTCCCTTGAACACAGCCTGGACATCTTGGGCGGGAGCAGACGGGGTGGGGGGAGCCATGGAGCCGGTCCATGTAGACCCC